GACACGTCGACTCTCCGAATTGCGAAGCCGGTGCGCGCAGGAGTGCGAATTGTGCAGAAGGCCACCCTAAGGCTCAGAAAGGTCCTATAGGGAATCCCTTTTGGGTTTCCTCATGTTGGTTTCGTCCTTCTAAGTGCTAGAAGTTGATACCACACACGCAAAACTCCAGAAAGGGACGGAAGCGGGTCGAACTAAAACGAGGCGGGTCCCACTTCTGAGGTTCTAAGATAGTCGCAGGAAGACCCCTAAGGCTAGATCCTAACTCCTACGAGGAATAGTAGACCTCACGAAAAATTGAGGTCAACAGAAGCATGCTTGGTTAGCTTCCTCAAAGCTATTAGAGTTTATCATTTGATATAATATCAATAATGACTTAAGACAGTGCTGGTCCAGCAGAAGCTCAATAATTATTGAGGCAATTAGATGGATGCGTGAGGAGGTGGAGAAGAAAATGTGTAAATCATAAAAAAGCTGTAAAAATCAGTATGATCATGTTCATGTTGAATTAAATATTAAAAAAAGAAACTCTCATTTGAAAGCAAAGTAGAAAAAAGTGCCGTAAAAAAGAAGGGCATAAACTCAAATAGATTCAGTAGGATCAATTCTAAATTAACAAGAAGATAGTGACAATGTAAATCAAGTGGATCCTCCCACATTGGTTGGAATTGATAATTCCCTTTATAATAATGAAAAGAAGGCTGATTTGAATTCCCAAATATTCCATTCCCTTTTGTAATTTATCCCCAGAATTTTTTTTTCTCTCTTGATTGGAAAGCATCAAGCCCGCTTCTTTGGTTGCACGCCATTACATTTGAATGATTTCTCCTTCTCCTAACTACCCTATTAGATTAAATAGCTGGATAGCAAAGAGAAATTTGTTAAGGCACAGCAGAAAAAAGTATAGCGAATTAAATACCTTAATGTTAAAATAATTTGCCATTACTAATCTTATCAACTGAGGAGAGAAACACGAGACCCAAATGAAGGCTAAAATTCTCTCTCGAGCGAAGAGAAATTCTTTCCAAAGCCCTAGTTTGCTTGGTGGTTCCGCCAAAGGAACATTATCCACAAACCTTAATCAGTATCGGACCAATCTTAGAAATAAGAATATGTAATGGTCTACTGGATCAATCTTGATGTACCATCCCTTATAATTAAAGTTTGTATACCAGATACTACATGGCAACATTACTAACATGCAAATACTTTACCTTTGTAGCAATGGAAATCGGTCTAACATAGTCTGTGCAGTCATTGAACAAATTAGACGAACTACTAATTATTTTTTACCAATAAAATTATCCGTAGCTACTGAAAATAAAATACCGAAAACATGGCTCATGCATCTTACTTGATCTGTCTCTCTACTTAATTGTCAGAACAAAAAAATTCATCCAGTTATGTTCAATAAAAAATTCCCTGCTACAAGAATTAAGGGCAAATTTATCTTCTATAAACATAAGGGTAATTTAGTCTTTTATTATTATTATTGTTGGGTGGTATAAATTATTATTATTGTTGGGTATAAATAGACTTATTATGTTTAGGGTTAGTTTTTATGCATGAGATTGAGTTGTGAGTCTTTAGCTCTAGGCTTTGGGAGAGATTTCCTACCTCTTGAATTGTAGGAATTGGGAGAGACCGCCTACTTATCGAATTGTAGGTGTTTATCTTTGTTTTCTTGTTAAGTTGTTTGATTTATTGGAGAAAAATTGTGTTTGCCCTAATTTTTCTGAAAAAAACATGTCAATTTTGAGGTAGAATTGTATTAAATTAGTGTCAGAGCAAGATTTCTGAGAGAGAGTGCTCGGATCATCATGCTGTCACGATTTAAACTTGCGGGGAAGGCAACCAATACAAAACATGTCAATTTTGAGGTAGAATTGTATTAAATTAGTGTCAGAGCAAGATTTCGTGACTTCACTTCACCAAGCAGTTGCAATTAGAGCTAACCAGGAAGAATCACGGCTTGTCAAGATTCGAAACTCCCGTACAGTAGTGCGTAAGGGAATGTGAAGGATTGTTAAAGGATCGACCGCAAGGCGAGGGTCTAGGACACTACGGCAGGGACCTTCATACAAAGAATCAAAACCAAGAGATATTGTTGCAATCATTGCTTGTGGAGAAGGCAGCGCGGGCTTGCGGCTTACAGAAGAAGGCAATGACTGGTTCAGAGCGTCTGTCAGCCCGAACTGTCATGATTGGACTTGCAATATAGTCAATTTGCGATACAGTCCCGATCACAACCAATGGGAAAGGCTGCTACTGAATCAGGCGTGCTCTAATTGTGATACTAGAAATTAACAATCTGACCCGGAATCAAGCGGGCCCTAGTGATAGAAGATAATGACAACTGAGAAAATAAATGATTTGGATAAGAAATTAGAGGAAGAGATTAGAAGAAAGGTTCACCGTCATAGATATAGGTTTTCTTTCATGGAAAACTGAATCGATGACCTATTTGAGAGCACGGGGAAAATTTGGGAGGTGATAAAAAAGCTTATTGAGATGCAATCTAAGACCCCGCCGGCGGTTCAATTTGCAAATCCTAACCAAAAGTTGATTGGAGAATCTGTGGCAAGATTGAAGGGAAAAGAGATCAAACATAACGAGGAAAACATTCACTATCACAAACCCCCTCTCAGGGCTCCGATTAGGGGTAAATTAGAGATTTCTAATGAAGGCGGTTGGACTGAAACATGGAGAAGAGATTATGCCAGAGGTATGGAGTGGCATGAAGAAGGGAGAGAAACTGGAAGGGGATATGGCTATGATCGAAGGAAGGATTTTTACTCTTCATACAGGGGGTGGGCGACAACGGAGTAAGAGGAAGTTGGGGTGAAGATGTTAGAGTTAGGAAGTTGAAGATGCGGATCTTTGAGTGGGAAAAAGCACATGAGTTGGGTGGGTGATCGGGCAAAGTGATACTTCGCAGTGAATGTGTTAGATGGAGAGAAGAAACTCGTGGCGGCAGGATTGTGTTTGGAGGAGAAAGCCTTAGCATGGTTTCAGTGGAATGAGGTTAGATACTTGATTCGTTTGTGAGATAAATTTAAAGATTGTTTATTGGAACGTTTCCGAGCCATTCGGAAAGTAGACCTATACGAGTAATTCTATGACTTGACTCATGAGGAGACGATTATGAAATATAAGGAGAGATTTGCATTATTGTTGAGAAGACTGTAGGGGATTTTTGAAGCAGGACTAGAGTGAAACTTCATCAATGGCTTAAAGCTCGACATACGAGCAACATTCAAACTACTAAGACTGTGGGTATTGAGAGAGATGATGGAGCAAGCCCAGATGGTGGAAGAGAAGAACCAAATGAAGAAAGTCAACAGGAACAACACAGATGAAGTGTCGTATGGAACTACTGCAACCACACGATACCAAAAGTTCAGACAGTGGAAGTTCAGAGGAAGGTTGCATATGACACGAATAATAGATCATAACCGGGAGCAACACTCAATTGCCTTACAGAGATATAAATTCGAGAGAAACGAGCCAAGAGATTATGTTTTCGGTGTGTTGAGAAGGTTACCCCAGGACACCGTTGCAAGGATCAAAGATTATAAGTTCTCATAGTGCAAGATGAGGAAGCAGGGAATGAAGAAATATTCCCAATTGTGAGGGAGAAGGTTACCCCAGGACACCGTTGCAATGATCAAAGATTATAAGTTCTCATAGTGCAAAACGAGGAAGTAGGGAATGGAGAAATATTCCCAGCTGTGAGGGAGAAGGAGGAACACTGACTTTTTTCTCACCTTGAAGACAAGATGGCTTTTGAAGGAAAAGTATTATTACGAGGGTGCCTAACCCTAAGCCAAATTTGTCTTTTGTGCGCCCAAGGGCAATTTAGTCTTTTATTATTATTATTATTGGGTATAAATAGGCTTATTATGTATAGGAATAATTTTTATGCATAAAATTGAGTTGTGAGTCTTTATGTTTAGGCTTTGGGAGAGATTTCCTACCTTTCGATTTGTAGAAATTGGAAGAGACCGCCTACCTCTCGATTTGCATGTGTTTATTTTATTTTCTTGTTTAGTTGTTTGATTTATTGAAGAAATATTGTGTTTGCCCTAATTTTTCTGAAAAAGCGTGCCAATTTTGAGGCTGAATCGTATCAAATTACTATAACATGCTATTCCTAGAGATGCAGAATTAGTGCTTAACATGGATGATATAAAAGAACTCCAACAAAGAAAAAAATTAAAAGCGTCAACGGTAAGAGGTTTACCAAATGACGAACATGACAAAAGCTAGAATCCACAAAACATACTGATATACTTTGTGCTTTGGTTTGATATGGTTCATGTCATATCCAGGAGGAAAACAATTCTGATTAACCCATCCAAATTGAGGACGTATGAGAAGAATAAATCCAAGAAAAAAACCAGATATAAATCCTCCAATATGTGCAGAACTGTCCACATGCGGTACCATTCCAACAGCCATGTTAAGAGCAATCACGACTAACAAGGTCAAAAGTGCTGCACACTAAGTAATATCACACATATCAGCAGGATTTGAAAATTTTGCTGGTAACTGAGTTACATATAAAGTATTTAAAATTCACCTTATTGGCATATAATGCCCAATTTATCATGAGCTCAGAAAGCATAGCTCCTAACAATCCAAATAGCGCACCTGATGCTCCAACTGAGATTTTGTTATGAATAGATAAAGAAGACATCAAACTCCCACCAATGCCGGATATGATATACAAAGTTCCAACCTTCCCTTCAAGTGAAAACATAAAAAAGACAATAAAAATATCAAACAAGACGTAGACAAGAATTGCACATGGGAGAAAACTGGAAAAAACAAGATAAATAGATTCACATTAGAATGAGTGCACATCAGCCCCTTATGTAGAGGCTATGGCACCAGTATTTACAACAAAAAATTAACGCAAATTAAGTGCATCCTGCATTTAAAACAAGGATTGTTTGGTTGGATGAATTTAGAAATGCCTCGTTAAGAAAATGTGATGCATTTTGTTTTTAAAGGTTCATTTAGTTGGATTCAAATCAAATACAATGAAATAAATTTTTCATTGTTAGGATAATGAAAAAAAAAAATCTAATTTTGGTAAACTATTCTCTAACCTGCCCTTTCGTCGAGTCTCACAAAATCCTAAACCACCACCTCTCTGACACCCACTGCCCATGCCTAAACCAACTTCCTCTCCCAATGCGAGGCAAATCTCCATGGTTCAAATGTAGCAACCTCCCAGTAGTGGTGATAAGTTTAATCAAAATTTGCTTTCCTGAACTACTGATAACAAATAAAAAAGTAACATAAGACCAAAGAAGGGTTTGTTTGGGGCAGCTATAGTCATTTGTGAAAATAGTTGTAGCCAGAATGTGAGAAGGGCAATTATTTTAAACGTTGATGCAAATATTCCTTTTTCTTTTTAGAAAAAATAGGAAATGATAGGTTTTTTAATAATTACCACACTCTAGCATATATGATTGTAGACCCAAAAAATGTTTGCAAGAATCTCGAGAAAATCTAACAGTTCGGATCACAAACGGAAAATTACAAGATATAATGAATTTGATTGGTTGAAGACCACCAAATGAGAAAAGGTCAGCCGACCGAAGAGCTGGCGACCACCCGAAGGGCTAATGACTGACCGAATAGTTGTCGATCGACTGAATGTCAATTGAACGACCAAAGGGCAACCTAGGCTAACAAGAGACATCCATGCCAACGACTGAACAAAAGCCCAACCCCTAACAAGCTCACAAGTATCAACGTGAGACTCTCTCAATAACTCTCCCATAGATCTCCAGAAATTGCTAAGGAACAACAAGCAGGCTAGCTAACTGGACACCCTAAGGCCGACCGGCTTCCATACTCAAGACCAATCTACTTGCTAGAGCAAAGGCCGACCGGAGCCCAGATAAAATAGCCAACTGACACCAGCTCGGTCGACTGATGTAAGGATTTGTTAAGCAGGAGGTCCAAGCCATACAAAAATACATCAAAATCAGCTATAAATATGGCAAAGTACAATAAAAAACAATAATATTTTATAACGCCCCTATTAAAGTAGGGTTAAACATATAATTTTACACTTTTTACCCTCTATCTCCCATAAATAAGAGGTTCATAGCATGTATTTGTGGTTTTTGGCTCTCTCTCTTTAGACCGATACTTTGTAGAGAGAAATCTCTCCCTTTTTCTTCTATAACCTCTAGTTACAATATATAAAATAGGTCAAAGAGCCCGGGAATACCCCAGCTCGACCCCACGGGGCAAGTCGGTGTGTGCTCTTGCATTCTTTCTCGCTCTCTGTCTCTCTCCGCCTCTCCCTTAAGGTTTCTACTGATCCAATCTTTGGACAAGTCTCACAGGACAAATCTAGATTCAACAATCACTATAAAAAACTAATTCCACCAGACAAATTTTAATGAAACAACAAGAAACTTTGTTGTAGCCAATTAGAACTATGTCAGCAAAAAGCAAAATTATGAAAAATCCTCCAACGGACCTTATGTTTGAGTACAAAACCTCCTCATTGCAAGTTATAGACTATATAGGCCCCCCACTGTAAATTATAGAGAATATAGAGCCCAAAAGAGAGAGAGAGAGAGAGAGAGAGAGAGAGAGAGAGAGATCCATTCAGTTAGATCACTCACAAAATCCAAATTCTTGTTCTTGGCGAATTCCTATAAACAAAAGGCTGAGCATGTTGACGAGTAAGTGGATGACTCCGCCATGCAACCATATGCAGCTGATGAGGCGCCAAGGCTCTCCGCTTACAATTTTCTTGTAATCAAGAGCACCCAACGTATCAAGCCTGCATAAATGATAGTTAATTGAAAGAGAAAAGGGGGGAAGAAACATATTAAGACAAATATCAAACATGGAAATCCCTCTTTCATCCCATTTCCCCCACAGCCAGTGTAAGAAAGCGTTGTCCAAAATCAAAACTTGAAATGAATATAACAAACAAATCGATGATGGAAACTTACGTTCCAGGGGCAGGGCCAAGCAGAGGGTTAATGTACAGTGGCTCAAAAGAGTAGCGGCCAAGGTAGGGGAACAAGATACAGACGTCGCCCGGAGGGTGGCGGGCGGGGCAGTCGTTAGCGTACATGCTGTAGGCGAAGAAAACAATGTTGACTATGGCAATGGTAGGTATAAGCCAGGAGATCCACGGCTTATGAGGTCGAGGATCCTGGTTGGGCGTCCACCCCGAGGAGGCCTCGCCTCGATTACTCATATTGTGATTCTTTGCCTCGTCGTCGTGAGTTTTCACGGCAGGAGAAGGATGTGTTCAGATATCGAGTGGCGGAGAGGAGGCGGCGGCGAAAGGCGGAATGAGCCGGTACAGCTGAGTTTGCATGGAGACGCGTGAGATTGCTACGCGGGCTCGCGGTTTCGATTTTAATACCGAACGGATTCAGTTGGACCGGCTCGAATCCCAGTATAGCGGTTTTTTTGAAATGGGTTCGGCAGCCAAATTGCTCTTAGGAAGTGGGTTCGGCGGGCCGCTGGCCTCTCATGTATAATGGGCCGCCGCAGCTGAATAATAGAAGGATCGTTTACATATATACCATTTAATTCCTGTGCAGATATATCAAACACTATATTCAATTTTTAATATGCCACCTTTTTAAAGTGAAAATATTAATATTTTTTATATGATATAAAATATTTTGATATACATGTGATACGGCACCAATAAATTTTCATCACCTGACACAAATCTTGAGGCAATATTTTGAGCAAGAAACATTCAAACTTCAATTAAAAGTCATCCAGAGCTCCTATTTCAGCAAAATTATAGTCAAACTTATCAAATCGATGAGACGGACCTAATAATATCAAAGTTAGTCCAATTCGAGTCAAATCAAGCTCAGATCAAGTGATTAAATCATTCTTAGAAGATTTCCGGACACATTTGAATGACCAAACAAATGTCGAATTCAACGAATTTATAGTCGAATCGAGTGTCTCGATAAGACAAATCTAACGAGTCCAAGATTGCTCAATTTTGATATCGTTAAAACACTTAAATGTCCATCAAACGTCATTCAATTGAAGAAAGCTCTCTGGAAAGTCCGATCAAAATTGTTCATATTCCTGCATTAATTGCACCCTGAACACTATGAATAGAACCCCACCCCTCACATGAAGGGAAGAAGCTTGAGAGAGAACTTGAGGCTTTGAGAAAGAGCTCAAATCCAACATCATCCTTGTCATCGTTGACCTTCATTGACTACCACTGACCACTGTCGACCACCATCGATCGTCGACGACCACCGACGACCTCCGTCGAACACCGTCAACCACCGTCGACAACCGCCGATCACAGCTGACCTCCGTCGACCACCACCGACTGTCGACGACCACCGCCGATCATCGCTGACCTCCGTCGACCGTCATCGACCACCGCTGACCTCTGTTGACCACCAATGACCGTCATCAATTGTTGTTGACTACCGTCAATCACCACCGACTTCTATTAATCACCTCAAATTAGATGTCGTTAGTCAACGTTGTAACTTGGAAAATCTTGTAACACTTTCCCGTTTGTGGGATAAGGGGCCTCTGTAATTGTCAACTTATAGTGGATTTTTATATCAGGGTCAGACCCCGTGGTTTTTTTTTCCCTTTACGGGTTTTTCACGTAAGAACCTCTGGTGTCATCACAGGTTGATTCCTTTTAATCTAAGTGTGTGATGAATCCTCATGCAACGCTAATACAATAATCCATTACTCTACTACCGCGAATTTTCTAGCACACATTTATTTGGTGCCATATGTGGGAAAGTTTTAATCTCACAGCTAAAGTACTTATGCGGTTTACTATATGGCCACCAGACATAGTCTTCGTGACAACGGTGCATCTCGCTTCAACACCCATCGTTCCAAGGAGCACTCACGAAGCCAAGGGCAGCATGCTTATTCATCTTCCCGCCCTGAAAGAGGCTATCCTGCCAACAAAGTTGTTTCGGGTCCTTCTATAGAAGATCGAATGTGTAGAATGGAGGAGTTTTAAGTAGAGATCCTACAGCTTCTATGCGGGGCTAAACAGTCGTTGCCTACACCATTAGATCCACGTCGCACGAGAAACATATCGCTCGGAGGAACTCGTACAGGCCCGCCTCCTCAAGAAGGAACAATTCCTCTGTCAGGTCATGATGCTGACCTCCTAGACACCGCAAGTTCCACTCATCCATCTCGTGCAGCTCACCCGACATCGCTACATCTTCCTGCCATTCCAGATAATGTCATTTGTAACAAACTACGACGCCTCGTCCGGGAAGAGTTCCCCATAGAAATAAAAGGATTGTTTTTATGCTCACCGTAACATCTATGAATCTTCTCCCTTAGCAGATGCAGTCCTCCAAGACCCCATCCCAGCAGGCTTCAAACTTCCGAACATCAATACATATGAAGGGCTAACCAACCCTTACGGACATATTGATCATTATCGAAACATCATGCACATTCAGCGTGCCTCTGATGCGCTTCTGTGTCAAGTGTTCCCGGCTACTCTTAAAGGACAAGCTCGAACCTGGTTCTACTCTCTGCCAGGGGCACTGTAAACACCTTTAATGAGATTGTCAAACTGTTCGCGGAGCAGTTCATCGCAAATGGAAGGATCATCAAGGATTCATCCAATTTCTCGAGAATACGTCAAAGTGAAGGAAAGTCGCTCAAGGACTACTTCTGCAAGTTTTCTGCTGAAGCCCGTCAGATTTCGAGGGTGGATCCGAAATTTATAAGAGGATCCTTCCTTGGGGAGCTCCGCCCAGGACCTTTTTACTCATCACTAATGCGGGAGGCAATTTGTTTTTATGCCGACCTTGTCCACCGTGTTGAGGCCCAAATCACTGCGGATGAGGCCATCAACACACATAAAAAGCAGTTTGAGAAATTCGGGGGAAAGTGCAAGAATAACATTGGAGATAATAATCAATCTTCACAACTGAGAAAGTTTGAACAACAGACGAATCTGTCGGCACTATTTTTGGTGTGGAGTTTGT